CAAATATGAAACATGGGAATTTTAAAGCAAATATTCACAACTTATCTTGGAATTGCTTATGAGCTGACAGCTACCCAACTTATTTTTAGTTTATATTTAAAATGAATCATATGTTGCAAAATGACTGACAGAAACACAGCTTTGTTTTTGAAGCCAATTCTTTCCCATCATTTTTGGACATCATTCAGAGCTATAACAGACTTTCAGGGTGTTTAAAAGCATTCATCCACGACAACAACAAATGCTAATTATCATAAAAAATAAACAGCTCCTGTTAACATCATTCTAAGAACTTCTCCTACTCCAGCACTATATTTCATCTATCATCCCATCTGCTGGGAGGTGGGAACAAAGACTGGATGAAAGTATAATTACCATGTATCAAACTGGACAACACAACAAAACAGAAATGAATATAGATGGGAAGAATAGCATACATAATAAATAAATCTGGAAAGGGGAGAAAGGAAATGTAAATAAAATAGCACAATGTGTCCTGCAGTAAATAGCAGATACATAACTCCATAATGGAGTTAACAGTGTTTATCTTGTGATTTCTTTTTCCATTTCAGTTCAAAGTGTTAGTTATAGTCATCTTTCTTCCCACATCAATATTTTGTTCATTTTAAATGTTTATAACCAAACTGTTAAATTCTATCAAAAAAATTCTACCTTGAGACTAAAAATATATACCAAAAGACAAAACGAGTCTAAATTTATGTGTATAAATATATAAGGGTATAAATAATGTATGAATATTTTTCAAAGGGTGTCATTTATCCTAGTTTTTTATACAATGAGAAAATTAGGAACAGCTAAATTCTCAAAAGCACATTTAATTAAAAGGCAGTACAAGTAGCAATTACTAAAGTAACTAGCACATCAATATAGAAATCATGAATAATCACATATTCCTAAATAGAAACAAGAAGCTCAAAAAGAGTATACAACTTTATTTTACTAGTGAATACTCACAGCTCTCATTATTCCAGGCATATAGCAGATGTCAAGTTATATATGTTTAAGTTAACCTTGCATTAAAAGAGTACTAATATGTCTTATTTCCTCAGAAAAAAATTAAGGTGCGTTTATTCTACAAATAATTCTGAAATGATTTCCAATTAATATGAATACTTACCTGATCAAGGACACAGGATATGCACTTATCTATGTTATACTAATCAGGAATGGTAAATCTATGTTAAGTAGTGATTTTAAATTATTTGAATAAAGTTAATCTATAAATCTATTAAAATTATGTGTATCTTATTAATTTATATCTTTTATATCTATTTATACTGTGATTAGTTTTGAAACAATAAGAAGTAAAATAATGACACAGATGATATACTTAATATACATACATATGTGTATATATATATGTATGAGTGTGTGTATATATGTATATGAGTGTATATGTGCATAAAGGTTGGTATGTGTGTGCCATATGCTATATGCATAGGCATATCCCACCCACCCACACGACAGAGTCTGGCAAGCGACCCGTGGTGTATTGGATATGCCTAAAACAGTAACAACAAGTCTCAAATGGAGATGTCACTGGTGGCCGCTCGAGAAAATCAATGAACAACAGGAGGACAGTGCTACAGTGCTACAGTACAGCATTCACTTTAATTGTTTCATCAGGGAACAAAAAAGTAAGTAACCCATAGACTTTCAATGGTTATAGATTAATATTTCTGATTTTGAGCATCTAAAAATATTTGGAGAAATTTTTGACTAAAGATATTGTGAACCCAGTGAAACTATCATCATAACACTTGCTATTTGCTGACATACAGAACTTTACTAAAGGCAAAAATGTAATTCTTGAGAAAAAAATCATAATACAACAAACATAATAGGTCCGCTTTGAACTTCAATATACTTAAAACATAATCAGATTTTTAATACTACTTTTATAGCCAAAAGTTATTTAGAAACATTTTGCCATTTTAATCAGAAAAGATAAATCAGTTTATTATGTATTTGAAGGCACTTATATGCTTTCAGATTGACTTGTCCAATCCTATATTAGTCTCCTGTTTTCTGAAGGTATTTCCTATCTGTCAATGTAAAGATAGTTTGTATTACTGAGAAATAGATTAATTTCTGCACATAGTTCTAAATACTGTATGCACAGACAAATTGTGTTTCTGGTTTACATTGAGAGAATTTAAATTCAAATTAATTTCAAAACTGATATAAACATCAAGTTTCAGTAAAATGTCCTAAAATAAGATAGTTCTTTTTCTCTTTCCTTTTCTCTGTTGTGTTTGGGGGTGTTTTGGGAGGGTCACATTTAGGGTGCTAAGAGATACTCCTAGCTTTGCAGTCAGGAATTACTTGCAGTAATATTTACTCCTAGAGATACTCCTAGCTTTGCAGTCATATTTACTTGACTTAAACTTCAGTTGCCCTTAGTTCCTAGCACCCCAAAAGCAGGGTCGTAAGGAAGGGACTTGGATGGACCCAGGGCAAGCTATAAACTATACTGACATAAAAATGGGACAGGATAAGTGACATAAAACTTGGCAGGGCTTCTGGAACCAGATGAGATGCTGGGGGTTGAACCTAGATCAGCCACATGCAAAACAAGTGCCCTACCAGTTATACTATCTCTTCATCACCAGAATAGGATCACTTTGCATTCTAATTTATTTATTTGCTTATTTTTAGGGGGGATGTCCCGGAAATACCTGAAGGTCCCAATACTACTCATAGTAATTCTGGCAATTTCGTACAGCTTGGCCTGTTAGTTTGGGGCCACTAGTGCCACACCCAAGATTCTAGTGTAGAGTGCCAAGGAAGGAAGACAGGATATAAAGTATGTGCTCCAATATTCTATCTACCTGTCTCTTGCATCCTAATTTAAAGCTCATAGTAACACCATTAATAAGCATTTTACTGTCAAATTCCTTATATCACTTTTCAAGGTAAATTTCCAATATAATTTTTAAGGGAAATTTACTTTCAAGTATTTCTCTACAAGCATTTTTAAAACTGATATAGCGAGATTACCACTTATGTGCAAAAGCAGTAACGTGCATTAAAGAAAAATAGCACAAACGACTTCTAGTCAGTAAATACTCATTAAAATATCACTGAAAATATTGAAATAAGCACTTAGTAAAGATAACGTTGGTTTGTCCTTTCTCCTTCACCCATTCTCCTCCAAGGCAAGAAGCTTAGGTTTACTGAGTAACACATCACAATACTCCCTAAGCACTCCCACTTCCTCTGTATTCATCTTTAACTTCTCCTTTGTGCTTTGCTTCACCTATCTGTTAATAACTCATTCCCCTTAAATCAGAACCTGTGACTTGTAAAGTCAGATCTTTCAGAGACCTGGATTTTGTATTTGTAAGTGAAATATTGCTTTTCTCTTTCCCTTATGTCCTTTGCATAGTTTACTTTAGAGCAATGTTCTTTTTTGTATAGGCATAGGAAGACAGATAATACTATGCGCTTATAACTTGAGAGTTAATTGACTCTGAATGTTTACTGCTGTGCATCTGTCATATTTACTTGACTTAAACTTCAGTTGCCCTTAGTTCCTAGCACCCCAAAAGAAGGGTCGTAAGGAAGGGACTTGGATGGACCCAGGGCAAGCTGTAAACTATACTGACATAAAAATGGGACAGGATAAGTGACATAAAACTTATAAAAAGTTAAGAGCACGGTCATGGACAAATACCATCATAATCCAAAAAGAACTGACTGGACAACATCCCTGCAGGGATTAGGAAGTACCAATCTGGTCTGAGGACTGTATTCTGGGATCTAAAGCAAGATGTCCCCAGGTGAGCCACCCTATAAAATTAATATATCTCTTACTATGTCCATACAAAATGGCTAGAAATATTGTTAAGAAGTAAATTTAAGATGATTTCCAAAAGGAAAGGAGAAGTATATCTTTCGATGAAATTCCACCCTTGAGTAGATCTCTAAGCAGGAGGAGATTTTTGTCTTAGTAGACCTTCTTAGGAAGGAAGGGCTTCCGCATGTTGATTGTGCTATCTCACCTATGTGTAATTGTTACCACAAGCACTTGATGCTTATTCTCTATAACTAAGGCTGTGAGAGTGAACTGGGGAGAAGGAATATGGGCAGTGAGTGAGACTGGGACAAGGCGGAGGAAGACTAGATTGGAACAAAAACAGCAACTGATCACCAATCAACCTGGCCCTCGTTTCCTCCTTTTTTCGTCTATTATCATGGGTCATCCGGGGTGAGAAAGAGGCCTGAGAACCGAAAGCACATGGCGAGAATCCACACATATTTTGTGAATACACACTTAGTACTTCTGAATCCACACTTTCTCTGATACTTAAACAGTTCCAAAAATTCAGTATTATAATGGCTATTAGACTATTTAAATTTGAGGACATTCTTAAGCACTAACAGACTATACAGATATAAAAGTTTTTAATCTTATACACCATCTTTGTGCATGAAAGAACCTAGAAAAATGTTCTATCAAAATTCTAAGTTCCTTGGGCTGGAGGGATAGTAAAGCAGACAAGACACCTGATTTACATGCAATTGAGCAAGGTTTAATCCTGAAGTGATTACAACCAGAAGTGATCCCTGAGCTCAGAGTGAAAAGCAAGCTCTGAGCACTCCTGGGTGTGACTCTCAAATGCAAACAAACAAATTCTAAATGTTTTTATTTGCTTAAAAGCCAATCATGAAGCTTCACTTTGAGAAACTATCCTAAATTTTTTTTTGATAAATCTGTCCCGTGCCATTGCTTTCATCAAATAGTTTATTTTATAGTAATTGATCCTTCACTGTAAAATATTAATTTACAAATATAGAGAAAAAATTGTTTAATCATAAGAACATAGTATATCAATGTAGCGATTTTTATTACAAAAGTCTTTCTATATAATAACTTAATTTTAAAAGGGACTATAGTAAGAATCACAAATAAGCTTCAGTTAATTATCTAATGTTAAGGCAAAGCCTCAAAGAAAACAGATTTATGTTTTTCTTACCAGTGCTGTCATCATACACCACTGTGACAGTTTTCCACTTGAAGAACTGCACCAAATCCAAAATGGCGCGGCTGAGGGAAGAGAAATCTGGGTAGAGACTGACATAGAAGGAATCTTTATTATCTGACACCTGGTGCTTCCAGCGGGTCTGTATGTGGGGAACGCCCAGAGCATTACAGATGGACTGCACAGCATTTGCCGAAGAGCTGTGTGAGGGTCCGAAGATGGCAGCCACTCCAAGAGACAGCTGATCACAGGCTGTGGAAGAGATACACAGTGTCAATGGTGAAAGGACAGATGTCTGAGTGTCAACAGGAACTGCAGTGTCATCCTCAACCCAGAAGGCATGCTTGAATGTAGTTTGGAGTTCTCTTCTTTGTTGTTTTCAATACAAAAATCCATATTTAACTACCTTTGCGTTTTATCGAGTGTGGGAATTTTCAGTTTTCTATAAGGGAAGCACTTTGCTCAGACAACTGTAGTTCAAGATTCAAATAATTCTACAAATAATACCAAGAAAAAGAAGAAAGGAGGGAAGAAGAACACAATTCTAAAGTTTAGGAGGGAATTGTTTATTTAAAAAAAATAGTTCCTATTAGGTCATTAGAGTAATGGTAATCCTTTCCAAACTCACCAGTCATCATCAATCTGTTTCTTAAACAGGAGGCAGGTGGTTTCCTCTCTTCATCTAATAAGTCACTATCACAGACAGCTAAGTATTTTTACACAGGACATAAGTTAAGCTGTGCATGCCACCACTCATATAAGACCCGAGAGAGGATATTTCATATGGATTGTTTCTACTGGGTTAACATTATCTGTTTATTCATTCAAAAAAGAAGTGAACTTTCTTTGTTCCTATGCATTCATTTACTTGATTTAGACATTGGAGTTTATAATACTACTATAATTAATGCCTAAGGGATAAAATGTTGCTGCAAGACTCCAGACACAAGTATGCCAACAACCCCCTACCACTGCTTGAATCTCTCTCTCATTCTTCCCTGCCAACCTGACATACTCAATTCAATAGACAAGTTCTCAGGGTCTCCTATAATTGGTCACTGTTTATTCACTTACAATGTCTCTTTTTTTTTTTTTTGCTGTTTGGGTCACACCCAGTGATGCTCAGTGGTTATTCCTGGCTCTGCACTCAGGAATTACTCCTGGCGGTGCTCGGGGGACCATATGGGATGCCGGGGATCGAACCCAGGTCAGCCGCGTGCAAGCAAACGCCCTACCGTTGTGCTATTGTGCTATCGCTCCGGCCCCTACAATGTTTCTTTATGCTCCACATATGAGTGAGATCATTTAGTATTTGTTCTCTCCCCTTTAACAGGCTTCACTAAGCATGAAAACACCATCTTTATTTGGATTTTATGTAATATGAACCTACTATATTGTTAGAAACTGTTTTAGATTTTTTCAACTTTATTTGCTGTGGGGCCCATACCTGGGGCACTCGGAGCTTACTGAATCTGTACTCAAGGATCATTCCTAGCAGGCACAGGGGACCATATGCAATGCAGGGAAACAAACCCAGGTTGGCCATGGGCAACGTAAGAACTGTTCCTACTGTACTATCTTTCCAGTCCCTGGAAAATACTTTTATAAATCATATACTTGCTCATAATAATTGCATTCACACACTCTATAATATAAATAGAGGCACAAACATGGTAAAAGATATTTATATGAGAATAAATGGTCCAGGAGTTAAAATTGTATATAACGTTAAAACGACAGCCTATTTCTATAAATAAGAAAGTGAATAATTATAGAAAACACAGAAACTGTCTTGGTATTTGATGGTATGACTTTTTAAATAATCAAATATTTCTTCTGACTAAAAATTTAAAAAATTAGAACAAATAGCTGTAAACTCACATATTTTATCCAATTAAAAAATAAATTTAAAAATAAAGTCAATAGGAAGTGTCTAAAATTTAAGTGGCCTGGTCCAAGGGGTAATGTTTTTCCCATAACTTCAAATATTTAAAGAGAATTATGGAGATTGTGGGAATTGTCATCAATTGGATATTCTGACACAAACCTTTAAAAATTTCAATTAACAAAATATAAGCACAGAAAGTTTAACCTGAAATAATCATCTTAATAATAATAATTAATAATAATCTTAATAATCACTCATACAAAGACTTGATGTCTCGATGGTGAGACACAACAATTTACAATAACTTTCTTCTAAGGAAACATTTTTTTATTATTCTGTTAGAAAACTATTGTTAAATAGCACTATAAAATAAATTATTTGGTGTTGGCTATGGGGGTAGGCTTAAGAAGTGGTTTAGTTAATTGAAGATAGTGCTGGTGGGATTGGTGTTGAAATACTGAATGCCTGTAACAAATCATCACAAATGATCTTGTAAACCACAGTGTTTATATAAAGTGTAGGGGAAATTTACAGATGTATACCTTATCTATTTCATGTAAACTCCACAATATATTAACATAGGATTGCTTTGAAGTTTCATTAATGATAGGTGAGAAATGATTAGTACTATAATGAGATTCAAGAGTAAAATAAAGTTTAATGTAATATACTTTGGATTCCAGAGCTGAAAGCTTATATATGTAAATGAGACTAGGTTTTGTTTTGTATTGCATTAAATGAATTTAATTGTCTTATTTACATAGGCCAAAATAATACAGTAATCACAAATTGGCTCTTACTGATTTATTTTCTGATTATTCTATTTACCATTTCTTAAACTTTTATTGGAATAAACAATATAAAGTAAATTTATTGGGGCTGGAGCAATAGCACAGCGGGTAGGGAGTTTGCCTTTCATGTGGCTGACCTGACTTTGATTCCCAGCATCCCATATGCTCCCTGAGCACCGCCAGGCGTAATTCCTGAGTGCAGAGCCAGGAATAACCCCTGTGCATTGCCAGGTGTGACCCAAAAAGCAAAAAATAAAAAATAAATAAATTTGTAATGTGCCTCAGGGACAGTTTGAGATTGGGAGGAAAACGGATATTGTTGGGGTAAAAGTCACACTGGTGATGTTTGATTACTATATGCTTGAACCAATTATAATGAACAGCTTTGTAAATCCTTGTGATTTTAATAAAATTAATTAAAAATTAAATATCAATATTTAATATTTTATTATATTCTTTTATTTAAAATAGCCTTAAATCTTAAAATATCCAGATGAATTATTTTATAGTATTTAGTATCACTAAATATCTATATCTATCACTCATAAAGCTTAAAACTATGATTACATCTCTCCCTTTTATTATCTTTTCTACACATTTCTATGACTCCCAAATTTAACAAGGGATTTCAAATAAACTGTAATATTCACCCTTCAAAATCTCACAGCTATTCAGACCTTTGTTGAAATATTTTATCTTTATGTAAAAATAAATTATTAAATTTGATTTCTAAACTGAACTTTTAAGTAATCATAAAATTTATAAATTCCTTTACCATATTTTGAAATCCAAAGAAGTTTGATATCTCATAATTTTACTAGGGCATTCCCAAAATAGTAACCTCTTATTCTTAGAATATTTGAGTCTTTAGTTTTTTCATTGCTCCTTTTAAGTAATCATAAAGAAGTCTATTAATATTTTATTTATGCTACATTCATGTTCTATATTCTTTGGTCTAAATGATTTCATTTGAGATACAGCTTCTTCTTCCTAATGGAAATAATCGTGAACTATGTCACTAATCAAATGCACTTGTCTTGCAGTTAATGACTTATTTTGCAATTATGATGACAAATGTCATATTTCACAATAAACTTTACCCCTTTTTAGCTTTAATCACCCTGATGTGGTCTGAAATGTGGAAACTTATTTGTATTCATAACGATATGAATTCAAAGGGCACACAGAATATAAGCTTTGATAAACACTAGTTAGCTGGGGGAAAAGAAGAATACTTTCATCTAAAAAAAATATTGTACCTTATCAGCTGCTATGAATATTAATGAGATAAGAAGAAATCTGCACCAAGTGAATTACAAATAATTTTGTACATTTCCATCAATATAAGGTAGTTAATAAAACTGTATTAGCATTCAGTAAACACTATTTTAAAATACAAATTTATAGAAAATGCTCCTTTGAGAAAATCAATGCTATGAATTTAATTTCTATTATATGAATTGTAATTATTCAAAATAAAAGAATACCTACTAAGACAAAGTAAAACAATGACAACATCTCTCAAAACATGTTTACTAATCAGACTAGTATTTGATTAAAATACCTAGAGAATAGTTTTTCTATCACCTTTATTCTTATAAAAATATTAAATTAGTGTTACATAAAATTATTTTCCTATTATAATTTAAAACAGGTTAGCATAATAAAAGAACACAATTAATTTTAATTGTTTCTTTATATGACCGTATCTTCATATATTTATCCACTCCACACATACTAGTTCAGTTGTAGAATTCTCACCTGATCTACCTTGAGTCACTTATATTTAGTTATAGAAAAGGCCATCAAAGAACTGAAGAGATAGTTCAAATGGCTGAGCATATTCCTTGCATGAGGAGGCCCATGTTCAGTCTCTGAGCACCTTTTGAAAGATTCCAGATCATAGAGCTAGGAGTAGTCCTGAATAACCATGCATGGCGCCAAACCCCTCCTCCCTCCCAAAGAAACCCAAATTATTTTATTAAATCAAATTTTTCCATAAACAGGCTGGAGGGATAGCACGGTGGGTAGGGAGTTTGCCTTGCATGTGGCCCACCTGGGTTTGATTCCCAGCATCCCATATGGTCCCCTGAGCACCGCCAGGAGTAATCCCTGAGTGCATGAGCCAGGAGTAACCCCTGTGCAATGCCAGGTATGACCCCCCACCACCAAAAAAGCAAATTTTTCCAAAAAACTTTTAAGACTGAACTTAGATTCAAAAATTGTTTGGAACCACAGAACTTTTACGATAGCTATCAGTTGAGATCACAGTAATACTCTAATGGCAGTGACAGATAATACAAATAAAAATGTAAGAATAAATTGCAACAGTAGAAAATCTACTACAATATATTATTTTATGTTCTGTGCTTCTGAAAATATAAATAATTCAAGAAAAAAGCAAATGGATGGGACTGGAGCTATAACACAGTGGGTAGGACGTTCGCCTTGCACGTGTCTGACCCTGTTTCAATTCCCAGCATCCCATATGGTCCTCCGAGTACTGCCCGGAGTAGTTCCTGAGTGCAAAGCCAGGAGTAAGTAACCCCTGTGGATTTCCGGGTGTGACTCAAAAAAAAAAAAAGCAAAGGTATTAATTAATAGTTTACTAACATTCACTGATCTAATTGAATTTCTTGTTATGAAAAAAATTATAAAAGTTGGTCACATAACTTTACCCTCCTTAAAAATGTATTTGAAAACTGAAAACAACTTCAATAAGATATTCCTAGTAAATTACACATTACATGCACAATTATGAATACCTAGGAATTGGAATTTGAGAAAGCCTGATACTAAATATCTGTAAATTACCTTTCTTGGATGCCTCAAAACTGTCATAGAGGTTGATCTTCTGAGTGTCATAAGTCAAGGTGGTATTGGGCAACAAGGTTCTGTTCCTGTTGATTGTGTTCACAGCAAATCTGAATGCAAGTTCCTCAGCTCCCATTGGGCCCGATTCCACATACTCAAAAATACCACCTGGAAAAAAAAAAAAGAATGACACAATTCTTACAAGAGGAAACATGTCAGTTTTTTTTAAAACTGGGAAACTATTTGGAGAACTATATTAAATGTCTCTACTGATCCAAAAATATTAATACATTACCACAATTTTAGGCATATATTATGGATAACTTAAAGTCCTTATTCACTTGAGACTCCCACCGATTTACTTACAAAATAAGAGAATAACATAACATTTATCTCCTTGTATTACTCTAATTCTTTTTTCAGAAGATACTTGACATTTGTGAAAGACAACTCTCCCAAGCAATTTTCTGTAGATTCTTTAATCAGTAAACATGGTATAATTTGGACGAAAAAATGTGAATATAATTTAAAAATTGTTTCTCTTCCATTTATTACCTTATGCCAGCTGTGTTAGTATAGTTTGATTATTTTTGTCCCCATTTTCCTATTTAATCATATCATTTCTATTTTTCTCAGATATAAATGGTCTGGCTGGGATCTTATCTCCAACAAAGCATTTTAGTTTAGATTTTATGAATGAGACAGAAGGAGGTGGATCCAACACTCAAATCCGTGCTCTTGGAAAAAAAATATTTTGAAAATAAGAGCATTTATCAATCTCCATTTTCTTCTTTTTAAATCATTAATTTACTAAGGTAAAAGCAGTTTACTAGAGTGAAATGTTTGTATGTTTAAAGGATGCAATGTCATCAAATGTCATTCATGGCCAAAATGACAATTCACGCTTCCCTTCCACTCCCTTGCCATTGGTTAACCTCAGTTCTGTTGTCAGAGTCTATTTAAGTGTTTGTATTCATTTGACAGTATTTACTATTGTCATTCCAAATTCCATATTATATATTTTCTCTGAATAGTAATTTACACATTAAACTCCCTTTTATAATTTACACCTCATCAAAAGTCTTGGCACATTATTTTATTTTTTATCCACTGTGATTTATAGTCTTTTAACACTACCAAGGATAAGGATTCATGTATACAACATTCTATCACCATACTTTTACCATTATCTTAGTATTTCTCACCCCTTTTGCCTCACAATCCCCCTCTCTCCCGTGTCTCCCCCACACTTTGCATCACCATACCTACTCCAACTCCACTCCTCTGTGGAATTTATATATATCAGATATATATAACATATATGATATATATCATAGTTTTTTATGTAGGAGTATTGTGATTTATTCAGCCATTGATTAGGCTGATTGAATTAGGCATGAGCTCCACCTTACTTTTTTTCCCCCCTTTTTATAATTTTATTTATTGAATCATCGTGAGAGCAGTTACAAAGCTTTCAGGTTTAAGTTTCAGTCATACAATGAAACAACTGACCCTTCACCAGTGTCCATTTTCCACCACCCAAAATCCCAGTATATCCCCCATCCCACACCCTGCCTCTATAGGTGGGGCAGATGATTTCCACATTACTCTCTACTTTGCTTACATTCAATATTTCAACACCAGACCCACTCTTATTATTTGGGATTTTACCCCAACACTCAGATCTGTCAAAAGGGCAAGAGTAGACAATTTGTTTTCTATTGCTGGTTATGAATAACATATGATGTCACCATGCGGCTGCAGTAGTAGCCACATAATATTGGAATTCCGAAATTTTAAAAATTAAATCTGGAGGGATTTCTGCCAAAACCTGCTACGTTCTGAGATTTGTTCCTGAGTCTCTTGGATCGTGGCCATTAAGCAGCTTATTCAGGAGCCAGAGAGGCCATTCGTGGGTGGCAGCTCCACCCACATCCCGCAAGGACCTGCATGTCTCATAACTGCAGGCCCAATCCTGACTGTCCAGTGACTTCTGGAAGATAGTGGCCACCAAGCCGCCAAGGGGAGCAGGTGGAGGGACAGCACCCTTCCCCCGAGGTGGCCTGATGCTGGTAACTACTGCAGGGACCTGATTCATTTCTGCCAGAACCCGCTGGTTTCCGAGATTTGTTTCTGAGTCTCTTGGATCACGGCCGTTAAGCAACTTGATCAGAAGCCAGAGAGGCCATCAGTGGGCAGCGACTCAGGGTCTCATTGGGGTGGGGAGGAAAGGGCCGGTTCCATCCCTATCCCCTGAGGCCCCACTTGTCTCATCACTGTGGGCCCAAACCTGCCTGTCCAGTGGCTTCTGGAGGATAGTGGCCACCGAGTTCCCAGAGGGAACAGGCCAAGGCACGAAACCTATTCCCATCTGTGGTAGCCCGGCGCTGGTAACCTACTGTGGGGACTGGACGCATTTCTGCCAAAAGCCACTGGATTCCGAGATTTGTCTCTGAGTCTCTGGGATCATGGCTGTTAAGCACGTTGATCAGGAGCCAGACAGGCTGTTCATGGGTGGCGACTCAGGGTCTCCTTGGAGGAAAGGGCTGGCTCCACCCCATCCCGTGAGGCCTCACGAGTCTTGTCACTGAGGGCCCAAACATGACTGTCTAATGGCCTCTGGAAGATGGCAGCCACCAAGCCATGAAGGGGGACCTGGTGGAGGGACAACACTCCAGCGCCAATAACCCACTGCAGGGACCGGATATATCTCTGCCAGTTCGGTTAGAAACCAGAGAGGCCTTGCCTCCAATTAGATAGCTGAACTGGAGGTGGTCTGTGGGTGTGTCTCCCACATAACTAACTTTTGGCTGTTTACTTTCTTTGTAAACTTTGCCCCAAGTTTTTTGGGTATGGTCAAAGACAAAGCAACAATTTTGGGATATCTGGAAGTCTGAAGGTGCCATAAGGCTGTTGATGCACTTGCCTCACAGGTACAGAATGGCCTGCTGGTGGCATCATATCCCCTATATCACAGTTTCTTTATCCAGTTCATTTATTCTTAGACATGTGGGTTTTTTTCAGATTTGGCTATTTTGAATAGTGATGCAACAAGCAGAGTACAGATGTATTTTATGAGTAGGATTATTGGGCATTGGAATAGATGCCTAGAAGAGGGATTGTTGTATCATATGAAAACTCATAATTTTTTTCAGAAATGCTCACATATTTTTCCAGAAAGGTTGAACCAGTTGACAAGTCAACCACCAGCACTGGCTGTGGTCTTCTTTCTTCCTGTATACACACTAAAATTGCTGTTTTAATTCTTCGCAATATGTTTCAGTCTCATTGGTATGAAGTGGTAGCTTACTATTGTTTTTATTTGCATTTCCCTGATGACTAATGCTGAAAAACATTTTTTTATATACTGCTTGGTCACCTGTAAATCTCTTGGCACAAGCTTCTGTCATCTCTTCTCACATTATGGTGGTGAGAGAGAGCTGGAAGCAAGCACAGAGCCACGAGTAGTGACTGCACAGGGCCAGATGTGAACTTCTAATAATATTCTATTTTTAATATATGAAGGAATTTTTTTAAACTAGGAGTATATTGAAAGGTAATATATACTGGATTCAGTGCTAGAACCCCAAATTTAGAGATAATAAAATGAGCTCTTAGGATGCTACACTTTTTTTCTATGAGGATGAGTAAAACACCATATTCATAATCCAGGGGGTAGAAAACTATTGAAAAAGAAAGAAAAAGCTTAGAAAAAAAGAAAGGTTGGCAAGGGACAACTGTAATGTGTCTGTGAAGCAAGACAGATTTAAATAAATAGAGTCAGGAGGGATAAAATAGGGGTGACCCAGGCTTGGTCTCATCACTTATTGTTCCCTCCAAGCATTGCTAGATATGGCCCTGGAGACTTTGGCACCACAAAGTACAAGTATCACTGTACCTTTGGACTCTAGCACTGTGTCAAGCTTACCGAGAAAGTGGTCCCCCTGAAATCAGTGGGAGAACCCTCCCACTAGCCTCTCCCAGAATAAAGTAAGTAAACAACTTTAGGGAAGATGTTCTACTTGCAAGAGGCAACTCTGTAACCTGCTAATGTGAGGACAGAATATTTTATCTCTCTTCTGCGTGAGGTATGATTCTATAATTTAATTTTCCACGGAAGAAATGAGACACTTTTATTCTGAAAGTATGTGTTTGCTTTTATATTAAGTTATTAATAAAATGCTAAAAGGCAAAGCACTTTTTCTACCTTCTCATAAACCTACAAAAAAGAGGAATTATTCATATGATTTTGAGCAAGATATTTTCTCTGTATATAGCTTGAGAAATAATACTCATTCTGTGCCCTGTAACTATATAAAGAGCATTTATTTCTAGATTTATTGTTTTTAATATGAAGTATCAGAATTGTATGTAGCATTTCATAAGTATGTAGTATATAAGTTGATACCCAAAGGACTTTACAAATTATGCTTGGTAAGTAAAATACATCCTAGAGTAATAAAGAGCAGCGAAGAAATATATAATCCAAAGGAACATATAAATACTAAAACTCACACTTTCAAGAATTTACTTTCTTGCTTTCAGAAAATTCCCTTTTAGATATGTAGGATACAGTAATTTCACTGAAATTAACACACTACCTTTGGCTTTTAAAATTTTTAATTTAATATAATTCTCACAGTATTTTTTCTTTAAGAAGTGATACTGCATCTCATAAAACCTCCATATAAAACATTAAAATTCCTGCAGTCCTTTTTTCCAATCCTACAGTAAAATTAATAGTTTTCATAACTTTATAATAGACTTGTAAGGGAGAAGAAACAATGAAGAATAGTCTTTCTCGGAAGCATAGTTTCCCACTTTGTTTTATAGAATAAAAAGTAAGGAATCTCTCATTTAAACAGAACTTCCAACACTGAAAGTTTGCTCATAAGTCTCTGATTCACAAAAGAACATAACTCAATAAATAAAACATTTTTATTGTAAACTTCTGAAGCCTATCCAACTTTTTTCTTTTAGATAAATTTTAACTCTACTATGGATTGTTTGGCTCATAAAATATGTGATGGATGTGCCAACTAATGACACATCCTGTTTTTGAAGCTGCTCTAAGAGGTCCTATCTAAAACTGAGTAGTGTTTTACAGACATTTGAGAATAGAAAAGCATTGAAATGAACACCAAAACATTTTTATCTTATCAGAAGTT